CTTAACGTTTTTTAACAGATAAATTAAACGCTTTTGTTTGTCGATACTAGTTAATATACCTATGTTATTCTACGTTTAAATATAAGTCACCTTAAACGCATAATACCAGTTTACGATGAACTAGTAGACAGAAGTAAATAATATGTATATATTTAGGTTTATTTAAATTAAAAGCTCATAGATATATTTATTTACATTACATCCATATTTTTTTCCCCATACACATGGAACTATTTTTAGATGGCGGATGGAGGATGACGTACTAGTGGTACGGTCTTTTCTCATTTCTACTCATGCGTATGTGTAGTATTATTGTTCAGTGTAGGGAATGGTTTGTGGGAGCAGGTTCATCGGTCCGTCCATTTTAATTTGTGTACACGTTTTGTTGCATATTGCTTTGGCGTCCTGGCTTTTACGATATTGATTAAAAGCATAGGTAAGTTTCTATTAATGTTTTAATTTACCTACTCCTTTAATAATTGTTGCATTTTACAACAACTACTGTTTTATAGGTACGTACAGTGTGTTAAATGCTTATAGAAACTTCAAAACATAACCTTACTTTTGTTTCTTTTATTTTTTTACGTATTTTTTAGGTTACCTAGTTATTCCAAGCATACTTATTTTCCTTTTTTTGGTCAGTTGTTTTCTATTTAATAAAATGTCTAAAATAACCCTGTCTCTGCGTCATCTACGTAGAAAAATAGCGCAAAATGTTCAAGATGCTTTAAAGTCAAATCAATTTTTTTTATTCCCAATGAAGATAACATTAATAAGGCTTCGGACATTAATATATCATCTGATTCTATTATTTATAATAATTTCCAAGAAAATAATACAAATTTAACTTCGGAGCTTTTAGAAAACATTCCACCTGAAATTGAGTTACATTTTGGTCATAGAAATGGGGGTGAACCAAGCGACTTAACCGACCGAACGATTAGGTGTGCCATGCAAGATTAGCTTAAGTTAGCCCGTCTAGGACACAACACATCCAAAGTGTTAAGCTAAGATTTTTATTTTCATATATATTTTTTGTTAGTTAAAGAAAAGTTTCGTTTAGTTTGTTATTCAGTATTTTAGTGTTTTTTTTTTTGTATTTATTTTTTATTATTTTATTGTTTATTTTTTTTTTTAATTAAATATTGTTCTGTACATATAACAAGTGATCAAAAAATTTTTTCTAAATATTTAGGCCAAATACAACCAAAATATAAACACGAGTAATGCCTATTTCTGGTGTATACACACCTGCTATGGATAAAATCCAAACTATCATTTAAGAAATATTAACATTTTTCCATGGCCTCTTTTAGAAATTTTGTTTTGATCACTTTATTTAATTTGTGTTTGAAATACATTTAAAACAATATCAGGTAGACGCATTTTACACATTAATAAAAATCATACAAATATATCTAATATAGACGTATAGTAAAACAGGATAATTAAAGGTAGATAAAGTAGTAATGTTAGACGTATAAACAATAAAAAAAATATACGTTTATAGGGCGGACATTTTCACGTATATATTGGGTAGCATATCAACAGTATCCATACGTATATTGTAGTACATAAAAAGACGTATTTTATACCAAAGTGAATTCGTATAAATATACTACAACTATAAATCTAATATAGACGTATAGTAAAAACGTTTAATTATAGGTGGATAAATTCTTAGTAATCGACGTTTATAAGGCGGACATTTTCACGAATATATTTGGTAGTACATCAACCGTATTCATACGTATGGTAGTACCTAAAAAAATACGTAATTTATACCAAAATGTGCTGCCTGGGTAGAATGTCCAATTTGACAAACATATCATACAATTTGTTAACTATTTCTTATTTATCACTAAAATAAACAAATCATAAATAATACATTGCAATTACTGTCAAAAGAGATTGCAACAAATGTTAAAATATTAAAAATGCAGTGATTTTCTGTAAAATTTTTAGTAACATTACTATTAAACATTACTCAGAATAATAGATAAGTGTCCAATTACAACTCTTACAAAAGTTGTTTGTATCTCATATTAAAGTTGTTTACATTACATTTACAAAGTTGTATTACATATTGCAATTATGTGTTTTATATAGTGTTATTTCTGAAATGAGAGTGGTCTAAAATTATTTACATCCATCCTTATACTTTTATTTAGATCTCTTAATATTACTTAACTACATGGAAACTCTCAAAATACATAATAACGTGTCTTGAATGAAGTAATTATTTTCTTTTTCTAAAGAATAAAACGCTGAAATTTTATTTTAAAACACATTTGGGCTAGAACGCCCTATTTCGTGGGCACTAGGAAAGGCAATATAGCAGTGCACATTGCAACCCGCTTTTCGTAATCTTTTTTATAGATGGGTGAGCAATCTGTATAATTATGTATAGTGTCTCATAAACGTCTAAGGCGGATGAATGACATTTCTACTAACGAATTTTTATTATTATTCTCAATCTTTTTTATTAATTTACATTTTTAAAATGTTATTGTAATACTTTTAAATTCAGAGTTACTAAATACCGATATTTTGACATTGGATACACTTGCTTGAGGTACAACTTTACAATTTATTGTCACTTAACCATTTAAATCTTTTTGCTTAAAATGTATATACATGTCCAGATTTTAATAATTATTCACATTTTATATCATTTTGACCATGTAAACGATTGTTTGTTACGGGCCGGTATCTATATTTAATATTTTAAAAAATATACTTTATTTTTTGCTTGCAATGTTTACCCCATTTAATTCTAAAATTGAACACTAGAGAGGGCTAACTTCGGCAGTAGTGCTGCCTCTATATTTTACGCACGGTCCCTATTCTTTATGATGTTTGTTATTATTTTTGACATTAATGACATTTCTATTTTCTCGAACCGTTCTTAATGAAACGTTTCAAAAACAGATGCAGCTGGTTTAAACCTAATTTAACGTGACGTCATTGTTTGGTCACTCGAATTGGAATAGTTCAAACCGTTTTCAAATAGCCTGAAATATATTTAAACTAGTCGACCGCTCGAATATGGCTAAATGTCAGTTAGTTTTATGTATATCGAAGAATCCTGAATTTAAATTTTAAATTTTGAGTTCATGATTGTGATATCCTGTACATGAACTAAGTGAAATGGTTGTGGCTATTTTTGTGTAAAATTTGAGGACAATAATTATATTTTTTAAATATTACAATAAGTCGGAGAACGTATTGCATTAATAACACATGCCACATGAATAAATTTAACAATTTCAATGTGGCGTTCTTTAATTAACCAAAAAAAGATCTAGTAATGTAAGTAACACAAATAGGAACCAATTTTTGTCACAAAGTAGGTATTTATGTATTATTTATTATTTTAGAACAAGAAAATGGTTTCAAAACGTTAGAAAGAAGATTTTATATAGGAAGAAAAATATCTGCATTCCCATTATTGAGTTTGCACTTAAAATTTTTAAATAAGACACCATTGGTCATTCGTTTGGAAAATAAAAACAGAAATGTAATAATATAAATAACGATCAAAAATTGAAAAATATTTGTCAAGAATAGATTTACAATAATTAATCGATAATAGACTGTAAGTGTAGTATTATTTTCAATAAATCATTTAGCGTAATTACATTGTTTAAATTTATTTACAAGAACATGAGAATGCAGTCGATATTTATACAAACTTTATTATCAGATTTTTAAATTCCCGCTGCGTTGTTTGATATCGATGAAAGCGCCACGTAGTGGGTCAGATGTTAACTGCGTTAAAGCTGGTCGTTGTTAAGCATTGGCTTCTTATGAGCGTTTCCTATCTTTATCTCCCTTATCTCTGGGAATGTGCAAACCGTTTTGCTCTAAATTAAGTCGATTGGATTTTATGGCGTGTTAAAGTTGGAAAATAGCCACTTTTGAACAAATTTCCTAGTTTGTGCGACTTTCGGGTAGAAGTGGCAACGTTGTAACCTTCAAAACATTTTTAGAAGGAAGCTCCAATACCAGCTTAATAGTATTATATATCTAAGATAGTATTAGGTATTCCAAACTGAATGGCTACCAGTGGGTTTTGACAGGTTATGATATGGCAAAATTATGGCAACCCTGTAGGCCTGGTGATTTGGCAAGGTCAATAAAATAGATAGTTACATAGATTGATCATCCATATTTTTCAAAATAAACATAAGTTTATGCCTTGAAGTAAAACTGTAAGTAATTATTTTTTTTTAAATATCTAAAGGCTGAAAATTGGTTTTAAAACACATTTTTGCTAAACCAATTCAAATTAATAAATATTTGCCAGGCAATATGGCCGCTCGCAAACGACCAGCTTTGAGCAATCTATATATGTATCATTGACCCTGTTAATGACATGACAACAGGGTTGTCATATCTAAACTGTCAGTCCCCACTGGTAGCCATTTAGACAGGTCGTTGGAATGCCTAATACCCTTAAAATTTCATAGTTTTAATGTTATTTTTCAAGATTTTCCTAAACCGAAAATTAGAACATTTTTGAAAATAGGTCCTCTAATCCTCTGCTGAAATTTTTCCTTGTGACTAGTTAAGTATTGACTATTAACATTTATACGAAATCGCCGTAACTGTCGAATTAAACCCAGTAAAAAACAGTTTCGACTGCTAAATAGACAAACTTAAACAGTGAAACTTAAATTATATATACAAATAACAGATTAACCACCTTACCTTTCCAGTAGCTTTTCGTAACAAATAATGTTCTTGAAGTAATTTTTTAACGCCAAAATTCACCAAAACCTCACGAAATAGGTACACACACAACAACACTGACTTTGCCGTTAGGAAAGGCCTCTAGCAACTAAAATGTTCGCGCCAAAGTCGGGTCAAGACATGTATAAAACTATAACGGTTGGAATTGTTGAAATTCAAACGCATTCAAAAAGTGATAAAAACGTGTATACTCTATTTTACGTTTTTTTACAATGCAAAGATTTTAATTGTCTATTAACCATACAATGAAACAACAACGTAAGTAGTTGATAAAGTATTTTTTCATTGTATTACATATTTGTCTATTGTCGCTCTAAAAAATATACTTTAACTCAGATCATACCAGGGCCGGATTATCCAATAGGCTAGATAGGCTATAGCATAGGGGCCCTCGACTTGCGGGGGCCCTTTACTCTCAAATAAAAAAAAGTAAAACGATATACAACATCTATTTACTATAATACGTTGACCATGATGTAATAATAACAAAAATAATAGTAATAATAATTATCATCCCAGACAACACACCAAATCCCAGAGATATCCACAGAATATATTTTGTGGATATCCAATATATCCACAGGATATCAGAAATATTCCGTGGAACTAATATAGATATCCAAATGTCCGTCTATATCCAGAATATAGAAGATATCCTATGGATATTCAGCAAAATATCTAATGAGTATCTCCAGACAATACAAGAAATCCCAGATATATCCATAGAATATATTTTGTGGATATCCAACCAAATGTCCGTCTATATCCCAGGATATAGAAATTCAGATAAATATTTTATAATTATTTTTAGTAGAGGTTCATAAGTAACCAATGGTTATTGAATAACGTAGAAAGAAAATAGAGGTAAAAAATATTCCCAACAATCTGCCTTTGATTTTGCCTACTAAGGAGAAAATCATCCTTATTAGGAATCTTCAGCAATAAATGGAACTTCTCGACTTCAGTCTCTAATGAAGTCTGTTTGTGAAACAATGTCGATCAAACTCAATTACGGCGGGTTAAGCATGAGTAGATACGAAAGTGGTATCGCCATCTATACTTAGGAAGCAAAATCAAAAATTACATCTAGTAGATATCCACGATGGTTTGCGTCCGCGCTTAGACTTTGATATATTTAAATTTATAGTGGATGTCCATGGGATATTGAATACACCTTAAAAAAAATTAATTTTAAATATCTCAACGGTACTATTAGCCACAATGGCGAGTACAATGGCGTAATTTTTTAATAATTTGCTATATAATTACAATTATTTATGGACATTTGCATGTCTATAAATTACATTTCATGGATATAAAATAGATATCCACCATGGACTGGACATTCAGTGGATATTGGGATGTTCAGTAGATATCCAAAGGATTTGGTGTGCTGTCTGGGATTATTTATACTAAATCTGGCTGCGGCACGGCACGACCCGCTAATGCTAATGTCAGTTTTTATCGCGATTTAAGATAGACCGACCGACGGACGCTACTGAACACTGCGCTCTGCATGTGCATCCCCGAAGAATACCCCAAAATTTTGATCCCTGGCGCCGGCGAGCTTGCGCTGCGTGCGTCATTCCAAAGGGTATGGTCTGTGGTCATTCCGTCTAGTGTCTCTAGTAAAATCCACACGCATTTTTTAAGGATATGTTCGTTCGTTAAAATTAAAACGTTATAATCGTAATTTAAACACAAAAGTATTTTGTATTAAAAAACAAAATTAGTGCATAGTGTAGTGACACTGACTAAGTGACTAAAATGAGTAACTATGAACTATCCAAGTGGGGCAAAAAACGTAAAATAGCTAAAGAAGAAGCTGTAAGGCAGGCGGAAACTATAGAAAATGTGCCAAAAATAAACCACATATTGATAGTGGGCAGTCACATAACTCTAATTTAATTCATTTGTCACATTATGCTTTACCAGGAATTTCAAGAACAAATTTGGAAGGTATTTATTTTATATTTTATTCATGTTTTAAATCAAAAGCAAGCGCATATTTTGTTTTTAGATTCTTTGCTCACCGCTAATGAAAATGAAAACAATGAGAATGACACTGACAAAGTTGATACAAGTGATAGTGATTTTGGAGATCCTGCAAAAATATCAGTTAACATTAACTCAGAGACGATTGACTCACTAATAAAAAATCCGATAATACAGAATTTAAACAGTTTTGATTTTGAAAAAATCAAAGAGAGTGTATGAAGGCCTACAATCACGCTATGCATCTAAAAAAATATTTTTTTCCAAACTTCGAAATGGTGAGGAAGATCGGCGAGAGTGGCTCTTATATTCTGTGTCGAAGAATGCAGTTTTCTGTTTGCCGTGTATGTTGTTTAGCATGGATCGTGAAAAATCTTTTGTTAAAGGATTTAATGACTGGAAAAATATTATTAGAATTGAAAAGCATGAGGCTTCGCAAGAACATTTAAATAACACAAAAATATTTCTAACTCGTTCCAATACTTTAGGCAAAATAGATACAGAAATTGAAAAACAATATTTAGAGGAAAAAACTACTGGATGAAAATTCTCCATCGTGTATTGTCTACAATTAAATTTTTAGCAAGTCGAGGTATGTCATTCAGGGGTACCACAGAGAAGTTTGGGAGAAATGACAACAGCAATTATTTAGGATTTTTAGAGTTAATAGCTCAATTTGATCCATTCTTGAACAATCACTTACAAAAATATGGAAATCCGAGACGCGGTAATGTCTCATATTTATCATCTTCTATTTGTGACGAGTTTATTGGAGTTTTATCAAAGCACGTTCGTGATTTTATTAGTAGTGAAGCCAAATCGGCGAAATATTTGTCTATTTCCGTGGATTCAACGCCTGATGTTAGTCACCTGGACCAGCTTACTTTTATTCTTAGATATGTCATATGTGATGGCTCTCCTATAGAACGTTTTATTACCTTTATTAGTAATACTGGCCATAAGGCAGTTGACATGGAAACTGCGGTTCTTAAGATATTAGACGAGTTACAGTTAAATATTCAAGAATGTAGGGGGCAGTCTTATGACAATGCCAATAATATGTCCGGTCAATATTCAGGATTGCAAGCTCTCATTAAAAAAATGAATCCTCTAGCCTTATTTGTCCCCTGTGCGCCCCACTCTCTTAATTTGGTAGGAACTTGTGCAGCTGAGTGTTGTAATATGGCCACTTCATTTTTTATGTTCTTGGAAGAAATATATATTTTTTTTTCAGCATCCGCACATAGGTGGCAAATAATGACAGAAGAACTCAATAAAATTCCCAATGCTTTCTTTCCAAAAAAATTATCTGTTACTCGATGGTTTGCTCGCGCGGATTCCTGTAAAGCAATTATTTTAGGGTTTTCTGCGTTTAAAGAGTCATTAGCAGTAATCGAAAATGATATTACACAGCCAAATAGTACAAAAGTTCAAGCAAAAGGAATTAAAAATCGGTTCGAAGAATTGGAAGTTGGGATTTTGTTAAAATTATGGGACGATATTTTAACAGAGTTCAATAAGGTTAGCAAGTCATTACAAGCTACTGAAATCGATGTTTCTTTAGCAGTCAAATTGTATGATTCACTTATTAGACATGTTTCACAACAACGCGAACGTTTTGCATATTACGAAAAATGTGGCAATGAACTTACAAACTGTTCCACATATAAATCCGATAATAAAAGAAAAAAAAAGTAGAAAACTACAATTTGACGAAAATAAAGAGGGTGAAGTTGAATTCAGTGGTAGAGATAATATGCTCATAAATACTTTCTATGTTATAATTTTGCAACCCTAAAATCACGGAAACGAGCATTTATTTGAGTACACACCAGTCACCACCACCTTATTACATAATATATTCTTTTTTTTTTGCGAAAATGTTTTAGGTTATTTTTTTTAGATATCCCTTGATTTTTTATGTATTTTTTGGAGTAATTTTTTTTAAATCAAGATATTATTTTAATAAATACCTTTGAACCTATCACTTTTTGTTTCACATTTTACTTCATCAATAAAATGTCTACCCTAGGTACCACAAAATATGCTGAATGTTCTGGATAGGGAGAGGAGGAGGGGCCCTAAGTAATTTTTAGCCTAGGGCCTCAACAATCGCTAATCCGGCCCTGGATCATACGTTTTTCTTCCATTGAAAAGTTAAGTATTTTTTTGCTTTAAAATTTGTATAGCTTATATACGTCATTTTACCAAAGTATTATAAGAACAAAAAGTGCAGTTACGCCCTTTTATCATTGTACTGTAAAATAACGCCTATACCTGCTTTGTCCAATGCATTTATTGAAACAACGAAACGACTTAAACCAACGGCAATTATACCGTTAAAAAGATCGTAAAAAGTTCATGTCAATGTAACCTATGAAAAAAATCGAAATTTGCTTATAAGGCTTTTTACCATTGCAGGGCAGATTACTGTTTAACTGCCGCGAGAACGTGAATGCACAACAGTCTCGCGGCTAGCCCTATGGGCTAGCCTCTCCGGCATGTAAAATCTGTTACAGCTTACATGAAAATTATTAAAATATTGTAAAACCAGTTTAAATATTAAAATTGTGATTACAAATAAAATGATCGAAAACAGCTAATGCGCCAAAAATAGAAACAAATTAAAAAAAAAACTTTTTTAATTTAAATTGTCCAAAGTTATAGTTCATATTATTTTTTCTTTAAACCATAATTAAAACAATAGAACATTGAAGTCGTACATTTGGTGCTTATATTTTCCTTCTACCGTGTTCTTTTAGGTACTTTTTGGAATTACAATTACTTTTCTAGAAATAATACTTTGTATGCTTATTCCTTTGTAAATTTTCGTCAATTCTCATATTCTGCGATTCTATTTTTCTCATTTGAATCGTTTATTTCAGAAACCCCCTATCGACCAAAAATATCAAAATGGAGTTATACCCGAAATTACAATGTCTGTACGCAAAGACATCATTTAGTGCAGTAACCTCCTATATAGTCGTACTATAAACACCTAATCAACAGCGTGAAATCTTCGTTTGGTGCAGAAACCCCCTATGCACCAACAATTATGGGCTTTCTGCGCTAAAATACGGTTTTTCTACGATCACTATCCAAAGTAGGCTTTTGCATATTCAAATCTAACTAGAAAGTTGACGTTTTCCGCGAATTGTCATAATTTGACACTACTGGCGCACTTTCCGCCCTTAGTGCACAAAAAGCTATGCTATTGTGCTTATTAGGCAACCACGTGTTAAGAAGTTGTTTACTGTATTATTTTCTATTTTCGTAGGATAGTGTTTATTATACTAGACTAAATTATTATGATGTCTAGCAGTTCGGAAGAAGAAACTATTCCAAAAAGGAGGAGAGGTATTTCACACGAAAGTACATACAAACGCAATGTTATACGTACAGCACGAGTTAAAGGTAAATCATACGTAACATATACAGGGAAACAGGTCCCAAAGAAATCCATTCCCATTGCTATTACATGTAAGTGCTTAAGTAAATGTTATTTACATCTAAACGGGGAGAACATACACCAAATTTGGAACAATTTCTATTCATTTGAAAACAAAAATACCCAAGATACGCATCTTCAAAGTTGGATTGAAATAAGGGAAATTAAACGTAGGCGCCCAGGAAACGGGAATAATCCTACACAGCAAGGTAAACAAAATATGGAAGATGACATAGAAGAAGAGGATATTTCACATGCAAATGAGAGTGAATCAATATTATTTAAGAAAAATCACTCTTTTAACTATTACCTTAGAATCAATGGCGAATTTAAACGCGTGTGTAAAAATGTTTTTATCGAAGTTCATGGAATTTCAGCTGACCGAGTGCGTCGGATTTGTAAGCTTTTAGTTGAAAAAAAAACTCCGTGTGACATGCGAGGGAAAAACCGAAGTGGTAATGCTATTCAGGGAGACGTTTTTTGCATTAAAGTGCATGAACATATTTTAAAATTTGAAGTAAAGGAAACTCATTATGGGGGAAACTTAAGGAAATACTTAGACGCTCGACTTAATATTGTCAAAATGTATGAACTGTTTCAAAATGAGCACCCCCATTTAAAAGATGTTGTGAAATACAATTTCTATTATCATTACTTTAAAGAAAATTTTGGTTATTCATTTGGTAGACCACAAGTAGATGTATGCAGCAAATGCGAAAGTTTAAGCGTCAAAATGAAAGATCCAGGTTTAAGCGAGAATTTCAAAAGGAATGTTGCTGCCGAGTTAATGATTCACAAAAGGAGAGCGAAGATGTTATATTCTACCTTAAAAACGGCAAGTGAAAACCAGGACGATGATACAGTAGCCTTGTGATTCGACTATATGCAGAATCTACCCCTACCCCTGATACCTGTCCAAGAAGTATTCTACATGCGGCAACTTTGGGTGAATGTTTTTTGCATTCACGATTTAAAATCGAATAAAGCGAAACTCTACCTGTATCATGAAGGAGAAGCAAATAAATGCCCTGATGAAGTGTGTTCCTTTTTATTGCATTACCTTCAAAATGAAGTACCAAATACTGTCAAAACACTTTTCTTGTTTAGTGATGGAGCAGCAGGACAAAACAAAAACCACACAACTTTGCGGTTTCTGATGAATGTGTGCGATAGAGGCCAGTTTAAAAAAATCATCCACTATTTCCCTATGCGTGGCCATTCCTTTCTGCCATGTGACCGCGACTTTGGGTCAATAAAACGTATTCTAAGAAGAACCGACCGAATTTACACGCCTCAAGAATATACCGATCTTATTGTAAAAGCTAGTAAAGTCGGTCGCTTTTCAATACATCAGGTTCGTACTGACGAAATTATTAGTTTCAAAGACTGGTGGCCGCGATATTATAAAAAAACAACGAACTCCGATGAAACTTCTGGAAGGGGTATTTCGAAAGACCAAAGAATACCTCTCAAGATAACAGCCTACAAAGAGTTTATCTACAGTCTAGATACTCCTGGAAAAGTAATCGCCAAACCCTTTATTAATGGTATGATCTCTTCCACTTTTAGTCTCCAAAAAAGTAATACTGCTCCTGAGCTGCCAACTCAGAAGGCTTATCCTGCTGGGAAGGTTCCAATAAACAAGAAAAAACTTGATGACGTACGGAAGCTGATGGAATACACCAAAGGATATGAGCATTTCTATGAAGATATACTCAGATGGCCGACTACAGAAGCTGATTGTGTCATGGACTCAGAACGTGAGGATGAGTAAGGCCTCGGAACTTGAAGAAAATAACTCCTATATTTAATTTATAACTGTAAAAATTTAGAATAAAGAGAAACATTTTCAAAACTTTTTTTTAACCAATTTATTGCAGAAACCCCTTAAGTAAACACCCCTTTAAATTATTTTCATGGGTTAACAAAACCAAATTAATTTTATAGTTTTTTGTCACTATTCAAGGGGCAAACTCCTAAATAACTTCAAATTTTTTAAATAAAGAAAAAAAATATCTTTATGGCGCAAAACAGTTTTTTCTTGTTTATTCAAAATGTATATTTCTGGAGATATGGACTTTCTGAAATGAACGATTCATTTAGAGTTGAGATTCGGTGTGTATAGAAAATATCCTTTAAATACTTAATTTGTTGAAACAATTCATCAAACATTAACACATATGAGCTCTAAAAATGTGTATTTATCTAGTCGCCGTCTAAGTCAGCCATACTCAATTGCGGTACTTAAAAAGGTGCTTTTTAAAGCTATATAGGTTTTTAAAATCTTGAGCGAAATACGCGAAACCATTCATCGGTCCTGTGCTAAATATTACGCTAATTTTTAAATAAACGTTTGAAGATATATTTATGTTCATTGGCTCTGAGGTTTATCCACCAAAAATAGAGAGTGGTAGACGTAGTCTTTATACCCAAACCTGGATGGATGGATAGATTACACTGTCCCAAAAACATACCGACCAATTAATTAGCCTGGCATCGTTTTACATAAAGACATTGGAAAGGTACATAAGGGATGTGGTGATTACAACAACACCACTACACCCAAATCAACATGCATACAACCCAGGAAGATTTACTTATTCAACCCTTTACCTAGTTGCTGGCCGGATAGAGACCTTTCCCAAGATAATAGACTCTCAACCAACAGAAATTCACATACTCGCAAAACGACCAGCGAATATAAATGTAGATGTGAATAAGAGGCTTGGTTGCAAGGGGATATCTACAAGGCGAAGTCTACTGTGGAACATGGTCCTCGTCACCCTCATCAGCCACCTCAATAATTAGTCACTACACAAGAGCGTATGCAGGTCATGCTGGTCATTCTGCAAACAGGTAATTTTAAGAACATACTCTTCGAAAGAATGCAAATAGTTCTCAAAATTATAGAATAGAAATTGTCCTTTTCACAAGGAAAAGGATGAAAATGGAATTGAAACCTACAGAGCTCCTAACACAAATCTAAACTTTGCAACAGAAGTATCTAGGCCCCACCTTTGAGAGCATGTTAACATGGAACTCACACCGAGAAAACAGAGTACAAAAAACACATAAATTCTCATGAACAATGTCGTCAAACCGTGGGGCGCACCTGGGGTCTCTCCCCCAGAGTCGTCGCATGGAATTACACGGCCATTGTAAGACCTATGCTAACATACGGTGCAGTTGTCTGGGTACCAAAACCCCAAAAATTGACAGCTATCCACAAACTAGAACAAATTCAAAGAACAGCATGTCTCAACATAACAGGAGCCATGGAAGTCATTCTTAGTATCATTCCTCTTGATATTTACATCACGGAGGTTGCTCTGATGACAATGACACGCTTCCGCACGGTTGGAATAGAACCTGGTCTAGGATCTTTTGGCAGAAGGCGCTCCCACTGCTTCAAGCGAACATGGACACCATCTCACCGAGATTTACAACTTCGAATATTGAGAGGAAGGAAATTATATAGCCTTTTTGAAATATAATTATAACCTCTTTGACCAATGGTTTTGAAGCTGATACTGTTTTTAATAACTTATTTGTTTTTTTGTCTAGTCTCATAGTTATGTTGAATATGACTGTTTGTTTCTATTTCAATAAAGGTAACTATTTTATAAAAATAAATCTGTCTAATGTCAAGGTTATTTGATTCTTGATACAATGTATCAGAGGGAGAAATGGTTTATTTAATAATATTTTTAGGAACCTCTTCTGTAATACTTCCAGTTTCTTTAAGTGATTATCCGCCAAACCTCCCCATCCCACAATTCCGTATGATATATGCGATTCTACTAAAGCAGAGTATAGTATTTTTAATTGAGTTTGATCTTATACATTTTTTAAATATTTAAATCTGTATAGTAAGCTACGTAAAGTTGAATTAACCCGATCAACATGTAAATTCCATCTAAGGTGCCTATCCACAGTTACTCCTAAATATTTTATGTTTTGTTTTGCATAGATTTGTATGTCTCTATTATTATTTTTTATTTGTAAGGTGTCATATGTCGGCAATGCATTTGTGTAGCAACTAAAGGGAATAAAACAAGTTTTACTAAAATTAATGGTAATTAAAACAATTTATTAATATACTCATATCTGCTTCTGCTTTCTTTTTTAGATCTTCCCAGTTTCACGCTGTATATAGCATAATGGTATCATCTGCGAAACTACTTACTGTCCCAGTACTATTGAAGGTGAGTATTTCGTTTATATACAGTATGAATAATATGGGACCCAATACCGTTCCTTGAGGTACACTGTATGTCATTATTTTTTCAGAACTTTTTCTTTCACTTATGGTTACGTACTGTTTTTTTTTTCTTCTAGGTAACTTACCATTAGTTTGTACGGGATGGCTCGGAAACCAATGCTTTCTAAAGTATTCAACAACTATGTGTGACTCACAGTGTCGAAAGCCTTCGCAAGGTCTAAAAATATACATAGGGAATGTTCTCCATTGTCAAAATTTTTATAAAGTTCGGATGTTAAAAAAGTGATAGCATCTTGGGTAGATTGTCCTTCCCGAAATCCAAATTGACGTTTTGAAAGAATGGTATGTTTTTTTATATAATGTATAATTCTGGTCTTTAGAATTTTTCAAACATTTTAGCAAAGTTTGTTATCAAATAGGTCGGTAATTAGTAACAATTTGTTTATCGCCGCTTTTGTACATGGGTTTTATAATGCCAATTTTAAATACCGAAGGGCAATGACCTTTTTCAAATATTGCATTAATTAGTGATATTTCTTCCTCGACTTTTTTCAGAAGTTCACCTTTTATTAAATCATAACCGGAGGCTTTATGAGGTTTTAAGGATTCTATAGTTTCAATAATCTCATTTTTATTTGTAGGTGAAAGGAAGATTGAAGAAGAAATTGTTTTTGGTTTAAGAAGACAATTTTTTGGGACTTTAATTTGATTTGCTAATTTGCTTCCTATTGTAGTGTAATGTTCATTAAAAGTTTCAGCTATTTCAGTTTTTTTTGTGTCATGTTTTTAAAATTAATAGCAGCAAAATAAATCACTAGAAATAGCAGACAAGTACTACTCACCCTGGACAGACCACGAATTTTCTCAAGGTTAGTATTAGAATGTCACGAAGCTTTGGCCGAAGTTTTCATCAAGAATGGTTGTCAACTTAAGGTGGATAAAAGGCTTTTTTAAATGGGGAATAACGAATAACTCGAAAAAAAAACGATATCAAATTGAAATATTCTGGAAAAATGAAGATTTACGAGATGAAGCATATATTGATTCTGAAAAAAATCTGATTGAAAATGGGGGTTAAGGGGCCTGTTAAACTGTAAAAAGTATAATATAAAATGCCAAGGATTATATATCTTCATTCTAATTTAAATTTAAAATGGTGTTCATCTTTAACCTTTATACAGAGATTATGAAGAAACAACTTCAGGTAGTCCACGCGGATATGGTACCTACCCTGGTAGTCCACGTGGATTTGACTAGCACATGTTAAACAATCTGAGTCATTCAACAAATTAGAACATAGACATAATTCAATAGTGACGTAATAATAAGGCGGAGTATTATACTATAATACCTATATACATTTTGTGAAAAACGACCAAATAAAAAAGTGGATACTATGCAGGTACGGAAATCCAACCACAGACCATCTACATATTTTACAATGAATTGGACAAGGTATGATAGGACCATGCGTAAAACAAAGACCGCTGTGCAGCTGAAAAGCCCTTGAACACGATACGTACAACTTCCATCTCACACGCACTTATGCTCTTTTCTAATAGATTTGGCTTAGATAGTCCACGTTTAAATTTTAAAAGATTGCATTCAAAAATATAAAACGGCCTAAAATAAAAATGCACATATTCATATTATAAAATCAATAAAACAAAACTATAACTTTTGTTTACTTACTAAATCACTTTAAACCCTCAGCTCATGTTTCTATAACAAAATAAGCATCTCCGCGATCAGATCAAGAAGTCAGGCAAAACAATTTTCATTAAAAAATAAAAGACGAAAAGAAAACGTCAGAAACTTTATTACTTAAAATGTAATACTGAAACGAGGAATAACTCCCCAACAACGAAACAGCCTTATGTCCATCCGCATCTACTTCTTCCCTAACTTGTTGTTGACGTGTCGCCTAGGCGTCCACCTGAGCGCGCTGCTGTCCACGCACAACCTCGGCCTCTTGTACTGACTCGACTTGATGTGCTCATCCACCAGTTTCGGCGTCACGCATATCACGTGCTGCCCTTTCCAGTATTTTACCATGTTCATGCTTTGTAATGTCGATATTATGTCGGTTTGACTGATGCTCGTCATCTGACTGCAAGAAAGTTAAAAACATGTTGGTACAGTATACTAAAGGTCGTGGGTTCGATTCGCACAGGTAGCATATTTTTAAATTTTGCTTTGGTTTGTTTTCATTACTTGACTGTCCTCCTTAACTTACCTCAAATCCTTAATGGACAGCGTCCCCCTGAAATCTCGAAGGATCTCCAACAAAACCCAGCTCCAATAGCTCCTATAACTGAGTTTCCCTAAATCGCTCAATGGTTGTTCTGGGCTACCCACGGTACCTTCCAGCCTGGATAATTCATAACTGAACGCTATCAGAAGTTTTCCATAGCCTTGTCTTTGATAAGGAGGTAGCGTCAATATACACGCCACGTTATTACCATCTGGAGATTCTTTTTCCTTGAAAAAAGGTTGAACAATTTTCATTTAGTATTAATGTTTGGTAATTTTAAAAATGTTAGAATTTTTGAACATTTTCTTTTGTTTAAATGTTTAAAACGTTGTTTTAAAGTCATTTTTTGTATCATACAAATAAATATAAATTATATATTATTATTTCGAAAAAGCCACAAAAGTAAAAAACCGATAACACCAAAGACATTGCAACTAAGAAACCAAATTTTTATGTGGCAAATTATTATTCACACAAAAGATTCTCGTTTATTGCGTCTTTGCCGGATTTATCTGTCTATAAAATTTATTTGGAAAAATTGTTTTCAAAAAATTAAATTTGATGTATCCAATAACTATAATTTTATATTATATAAATAAAAATATGTTTTTAATCAAATTATTCTTAAAAGCTTTTAATATAAGCTAAATTTTTTATTAAAACTCAATATTAATCTAAACAAAATATTAGGGTAGTAAAAAAACTCCGTAAATACGGCAACGCTGCAATATTATTTTACGAATTTACAACTAGTACCAAAGAATACCTACCCAAGAAACGAAACTAAATGAGTTTTCGTATGCACCAAAGCAAGGGAACTTAATACACTGGGAAAAGTATGAAAATTAATTAGTTTTTGTCGTTTGGTTCATATGAATTAAACACATACTAAAGTAACAATGATAGACAGAAAATTCATTATGTCAAATAGATTATATTAATAATGAAATAAGTACTGTAGGTACAATAATGACAGTCACTACACAAGTCATGTCTTATGTGGTCTTAGCAACATTTACCTATAGAGAGAAACCGCGGCCCATATATTGTGACTATGGCTTTGAGATTTGTTTGATGTATTTTACATCTCGGTCACATTTGAGTTTGGAATTATTTCCTTTTTGACGAATAGCCCACCTAGTTTCTGAACTAGGTACTACAGCGACCCTCGATTTTGCTTACTAAGTATAGATGGCGATACTATTTTCGCTCGTTGAATATCTACATGTTCAACCCGCCGTTATTGTGTTCGATCGAATTTCATATTGCCATTAGACTCCGTTAGAGACTGGAGTCGAGAATTTCTATTTCTTGCTGAAGAGTCCTAATAAGGACGAAATCGGTCCAAAAATGACTCTCACGTTAGTAGGCAAAATCAAAGGTAGAGTGTTGAAATATTTTCTGATTTTTTTTTGACGTAATTCAATACCTGGTGAGATATTAGCCAAAAGAGTAGTTATTGTCAAAAGAGAAACGGTCGTCTATATATTGTGACTATGGCTTTGAGATTTGTTTGATGTATTTTAATATAATTCAGTCGCAAAAGGGTTTATCGATCTTTTTAGGTATAAGGCAAGTTCAAAGCGTAAATATTTAAATAAATGAGGAACAATAAATAAGACACAAAAAAAATATATATACAAGGTGCGCCACGCTCAACGGGGCGGAGCCTGGTAAGTAAACTACAAACGATATTAAAAATTCCTTTGGCACAAATATACAGCTTAACGGCGGCTACAAATTAAAATTAGTTTCATACATAGTGTCCCAAACCAGAATATTAAAATAATATTTTTTAATGGAACACCCTATATTTTATTTTAATTTCTACTCTTAAAAATAATCTTAATTTAATAAAGATTTCCTAATTCTATCGTTTATAATAGGGAGTTTAAGTTGTACCAAATACGTAAACGTTAACGTAAATTTGGGTAGTGACACTTGCACAGTTGAAGAATTTTTAAATTAACCTGATACGTCAAACGTTATCCTATGGGTCTTTACCGCTCACCCAAAACGCTAACGTTTGCAAAACGAGGTGTGCCGAATGTGGGAACGGTAAAGATCGAATGATTAACTTGTTAAATATGTTTATTATTTGTCAATCTGTGTTGTCAATTGTCAAATAATTTGTAAGTGATTTTTTTTGTGTATCCGTCGTTCTTTTTATTTATGAACATGGAAAACATATTAAAAACAAGATTTAGATTTAACGATGAGTTTGATTTGCACCTGGCACGTGAAGTTTTTGTTCAAAACCCATATGAAGATGCAAAAAGATGGCACAATATCCAAATAAACATGATACAGATTGTAGGTAAATCCGTATCAATCTGAGCACTTAAAGAGAGAGTACAGAATTTAATTAAAAATCATTTGAAGAAAAACTAATTAAACGAGGGAAAATAAGGATTAATATAACTATTTATAAAAAAGGTTATGTTGAAATAACTTGAGTACCTACCAACTTATATCTAACTTGTTAATATTTCATTATTTATCATTTATTTTTCTCTCGATTACGTTTTTTTTTTAAACAGATTTAAACTGATTTATTACTATTTTGTTTTAGCACCTTCATTACGCAATAAAAAAACTAATATGAGACAAAACAGTGTTCAATATTTAGATAAAAAAGTAATCGCCTTTATGAAATAAAGTTGAGAGAAATAGCTCTGGCAGAAAGAAGGCAACCTTTAGAAGAAAGAAAGTATGAGCGTGATGCAGAAGAACGCAAAAAAGGTGCAACTCGAAGAAAAGAGTGCAAATGGAAAAAATTGAAATGGAAGAAAAAAACTAAATGTCCATTTAAGTGTACTTGAAAACCAACAATCTCTAATTAAAATTATTTTAGAGAAAAATACAAACTAATATTTTTATGTAGTTTATTAGTAGTAATATTATTTTTGTTTAAGTTAAAAAAAAAATTAAAAATTTGTTTTTAATTAAAAATTAAGATTAATATTTTTGTTTTTATCATATTATATATATAATAAACATTTTATTAAGTACAGGTTATGAAAATATTGTCATGAATTCCTAAGCCGACCCTGTATACGCAATTCGTGGCCGAAGCAACGCTGACGTGTGGAAACAGCCGGACCGCTCTCTGATTCACTCGAAGCATCCGGAATGTTCTGGGAATGCCGCTGAAAGCTCGAGAAACGGTTAGAGCGGGCGGAGTGCCGTTTACTCATCGTTGTAGAATCTTCGCGAGGCTCTGGAATTCTCCAGTAGCGGAGTTGGATTTATATAAATAGTCGACGATCAGCGCCGAGTTTAGTTTTATATAGAACGTTGTATTGAATAGTTAAAGTGTAAGAAATAAATTAGAATTGTAATTAGTGTTCAAATATTATATAAATTAAATGGTACGTCTGAAATAAATTGTAAATAGTGTGTTTTTAAATAAATTACTTTCGTCACATTGGTGTTAGAAGTGGAACTATAAATAAATAGTGGACAATAATAATAAACTGGGGCATGTTCGCAGTTCGTGCAAACGCCCTAGGGTCCCAACAACTGAAGACAACACGCCGCAGGAAAACTAGAGCGGGTCGGCCTAGAGGGGGCAGCTTCGACCCGAAACCGTTCCAAAGACCCTCTCATACTGATAGCCTCTTTGAAATGTCGCGATGATAGTGTATACATAGACGGCGAAGTAAATGGTAAAAAGTATACACTGTTGGTGGATACTGGAGCAACTAGGACCATTATACGATCAACAACCATAAAGAAATGTAAGAGAATTCTACCAACAAGATTGCGACTGTGGACTGCCACAGGTGAAAGTGCCAACATCCATGGGGAAATCCAGGTTCAATTGGGAATTGGTACAGAAAAGTTCACTCATACTGTAATTGTCGCTGATATTGAAGAAGATGTGATTCTTGGAATGGATGTAATGAACTTACATGGTTTCCAGTTGGACTTTAAAAACAGAGTGATCAAAGTTGGTGCCGAAGAGGTATTCCTACATCCATATGGGGACAGTACTGTGCCAGTTGCTGTACAGGAGGATACGGTGGTACCTGTCAGAAGTGAAACCGTTATAGTAGCACGGCTTCAAGAAACTATGGAAGAAGGAACACCCGTAATGATGGAACCTTGGAACCACGATGAAGAGGTTGGACGAGGCATTCTGATCGGAAAGGGGTTGGTCACGACTGCAAAAGAAATTCCAGTTCGCCTCATAAACGTTAATGATCACCCGATTAACATCAAGAAAGAGACCAGAATCGGAACTTGTGTACCAGTAACGTCCATAATTCGTCAGACAACAACTTCTGATAATTCCAACGACAAATTCGAGCAAATGATTGCAGTTGCTGGTCAATTTCTGAATCAATCAGAGAAGAAGAAAATAAAGGAATTTCTTCGACGATATCGTGACATTTTTGTACCAAAAGGAGGAAAAACAGGAAGAAAGAGCCTTCTACCAGCCCATGGGTCTCTCCGGTAGTCCTGGTCCAGAAAAATGATGGAACTACGAGGTTCTGTGTGGATTACCGTCAGTTGAACAATGTTACCAAGACAGACAGTTACCCTCTGCCTCGTATCGACGATACCTTGGACACATTGACCGGAAGTAAACTATTCTCTACCTTAGACTTGAAATCTGAGTAGATGTAATTGGCCGGTTCTGGAAATGAGAAAGAGGTACAGAGAGAGGCAATTCGGTAATTAGTAATTATCCTAAGTACCCCCCACCCTTCGCGCAATTAGCAAGTACCTCCCAATTACATCATGTACTGTAATAAGTGCAATTGCACAGTACCACCCAATTACATCATGTACTGTAATAAGTGCAATTGCATAATAAGTACCTCCCAATTACCCACAGGGTATACATCTCATTACTCCATACATATCAAAGTGTAAGTACACCTTAGGTAGTAATTACTGTGTGCAATGTAGTGTGGTGAATGTTATCTAAGTGCCTCCTAGTGATTACTGTTGGCAGCACGTCCTTAGCTCTCGGCCGGCGTGCCTAGAGTGCTTAGCCTGCGTTAGAGACGATCGTGCTTAACCGAAATATCGAGGTAAGGGACTAAGAAGGGGTAGCCTGCGCCAGAGATAGACGCGCAATTAGCAAGTACCTCCCAATTACAGCATGTACTGTAATAAATGCAATTGCACAGTAAGTACCTCCCAATTACCATATACACGCCATACTGTAATGATTGTAATTGCATAATAAGTACCTCCCAATTACCCACAGGGTATA